AAAAAATCATGTGCACTGTGGGATCCCTGAGACCTGGTACCTGCCAAGAGTTAGACTCAACTACACAAAAGACTATATCCATTACCCTCTTTTCCATTATTATCTTCTCCACCCAACAACTCCAACCAATTACCATGACATGATATAATTATGCCAACATTATTCAAATAGTTCACTATACATAAATATCTCATATCAAGAACATTATACAATATCACACATAATATAGAGCTCACGAAATTTAATTAAATCAATCTTATGTAAAGGCCCCCAAGAAATCCCTACCTTGACACCACAGCTTTTCCTAGAATTGTAAGATGACTCCCTAATTTCCACCGTATCCACACTCAAATTCTCTCTCTCACTAGTATTTCTCTTTCTTAACTCTTATGGTTTTCTCATTCAAACCATGCATGCCGTGCGTTAAGAATGAAAGAATTGCATTCCTATTTATAGTACAGTAAAAGTCGGCTAAAGATGATATAGGATGGGAAAGTCGGCATCTCAACTAAGTGGTGTCAATTGGCATGTGCATAAGACTGTAATGCTGCCAGCTATAAGAAATTATAGCAGGAGGTGTTTAAAGCTAAGTAAACTCAAGATATGCAGATGACAACTCACAAGGTGATTGTGCTCCTTGCTTGGCTATATAAAAATGGACATGTCTATCACTAATATCAATCAAAGTTGATCACTACAAACCTTAACTTAGCCACCAAGTATTAATAACATGCAGGAGTTGCAACGAAAATAAAACATATCTAGATATTTATTTAGAGTATATATTTATTAGTGATAATATTTATGAAAGTATAGCACGTAATTTTTTTATATGTACATATATATATATATAGACTTAACTATCTATGTTAATAACTAAATATTCCCCAATATATATATATATATATATATATATATACACAGAGCTTCCAATAATTCCCCTTCTCTTCATGACATGTGCTACTTTATCTACACTTAAAACAATGTCATTAATACATTTGACAATGCATTTTTTGTTTTCCAAATTTACCCTTATTAAATGCATTGGACAAACTAGCTTTTGTTTCCACTTTGTTAAAAAAATTAAGAGAAAATTTTAACATCTCCCACAAAATTAACGTTAGTTTTTTTCTTTTTTTTTAAATAAAAAAAATCTGTTTACTCTTTTTTCGGTGAGTGAAGAGGAGATGGGTTTTAGGTATGGAATCGAAGGAGGAGAGAGAATGAGAAGCACGATGCGCAGTGGAGTTTTGAATTGGAGAGAAATGGTGATGATTGGGTAAGGATGGGGGCGTTGTTTTGGCCAGGGAGGGGACTGGGTTTTGGGTTAGAGAGAGAGAGAAAGAGAGAGAGAGAGAGATGGTGTAATGGGTTTGGGTTTTTTTTATTTATTTTTTTATAATAGTTTCTTTTTATCTTTTAACTTTTTCATTCAATTAGAATGTTCATTAATTTTAAAAAATATTTATCTGTTTTTTTTTTTTTCCAAAAATTTTAACAGTTTTATTGAAAAACTTATTTTTGGAAAATTGAAAAACTTATTTTTGGAAAAAAGAAAAAAGTTTTGTTTTAGGGAAGTATAAAGTTTTGTTTTAGTTGGGCCTCTGTTTTGAGCAACAAGGCAAACATGAATTCACAATCAGGAGTTTAAAGACATATATTTTGTGCCTTAATATGCATTAATTCTTTCTCCTTTTTCCTTTCTTTGATTCGAAAATCAACTTCATTAATGAAGAAATGTTACAATATAAGTACATGATTAATTAAACCAAGCATAAATTTTCTTGAGATTAAATCCTAAACATTCTATATATGCTCAGAATTCTAAGTTTTGGTTCATCTGTTGAGGAGCATTCATACTCCATGCGGTGAGCGTCTGGACAGTAACAGGCTCAGTTCCATTGTTGAAGACGAACAAGTGTGCAGCATCGTTAACGGCTAGTGTGGGATAAACCCTTGATGTGATGCATGTTTTTCCTCCAGCTCCAAAACTTTCAACAACCGAATGATCAATCTGCAGAAAAGGAAAAAAAAAGTTACAAATTGGTTATTAATTCATTAATTAATATAAATGAGGTACAAAATTGAGAAAGGAAGTGAAGGGCTTAAGTTTTCTCACCAAACTCCTCAATGAAATCTTCTTATCAGCAGATAAATCTACATCTACAAAGCCAGCAAATGATGGTCTATACAACTTTTCATTAAACGGCCTCAATGAAGAACTGTCACATCCAATAAAATTAAGGGTTAAGCAATGTGAAGGAATAGTTCCACGGTGAGTACAGAAAAATGGAAGTAGGTCGATGTTATCAAATATCAACAATGTATCAGATATTATAAACTACTATCATTTTTCGATAATAAATTAAGAAGAGTAGGACAAAGACAAACCTTTTTGAGTCAGAGCACATGAGAACCTTATGCTTATTCTCTTTTGTTTTAAAAACTCTAAAGAAGACAGGAATAAACTCCTCCAGGTTTTGAGAAGCCAGTGTCAAGAGCCCGAATGGACCGACGCCACCTGGAACATCTGAACGCCTTAGGCTGCAGACGGTTTGGGCATCGAGGTTGGCCCAATTAGGATCAAACTCCTCGGCTTTGTCCAAACTCCCCAAGGAGAAGGTAACTTCAACGTCGGCCTGAGCAGCAGTTATTCCTTTTACTTCAACATGCTGTCCCTGTTCCACATTTTGATTGCTCATGTCCACCTTTTGCCCCCTCAAAGTTTCTAATTCTTTGATAGGCCATTGCACCACTTGTTTAGCGTCGGGGCTTAGCCACACCACCCTTGGAATTGTCTACAAAATTATAACAATCCAAAAAATGAAGCCATCTTAGTATATATGGTAGTGCACATATATAATTGCTATACAAAGTAAGGAGAAATAAAACTATGGGATCAGTTGGTGAGTTGGATTATATGATTGGAAGCAATTCACAATCCTAGTAAGATGTTTGGTGGTCTTAAAACAACATGGATTTGATTATGTCTA